TTGGAAAGACAACTGTTTGTGCAAAGTTAGCGTTTTATCTCAAGAAGCAGGTTCTCTTTCTCCCCCTCTCTCTCATTCTCTCTAACTATTTATCATGTACTAACTTAAGCCTCTGGGCACAGGGAAAGAGTTGCATGCTGGTTGCTGCAGACGTGTATAGGCCTGCGGCAATTGACCAACTTGTTATTTTGGGTGAACAGGTAAGTCAGCTTCCCATTGTACAAGAAAAAATGGGTGTTGGACACAATAAACTCTGATATGTTGAAGTTGCTTGAATCCAAGATGTGATAAACTATATTATGAGCTGCAAATGAGTGGAAAAAAGCTGACACATTAATAATGTCTGAGGTAAAAGAAGGCTAGAGATAGAATTATTAATTTCGAATCTCAACATAACAATAAAAAAAAGTATATGACGAATAGATACTGCGTTAAAAAAATAAAATGCATTTCAAAGCATTAACTAAGATTTAAGGCTAATCTGTAGAGTACTTATGATTACATACACGCTGGCAGCATCACCAGATTTGTAGCTTGTTCTTTTGGTGGTCAAAATATTCAAAGTTTAAAACTCATAACATAACAAATTAAACATGGAGTCATTTTTATACAGGTTTTTAAGTTTTTGACAGGTGAAAGTGCCTGTATATACAGCTGGAACTGACACAAAGCCTTCGGATATAGCTAAACAAGGTCTTCAGGAGGCCAAAATGAAGAATACGGATGTGGTCATTGTGGATACTGCTGGAAGACTTCAGGTTCAAGACACATATTATTATGCTCTTGCTTTCTATAAAATCTTTTGAAGTTCTGTGTACCCTAAACCTTCTTGAAGGGCTGATTTGAGATGCCATATGATGATATTTTGATCAGATAGACAAGGCAATGATGGACGAGTTGAAGGAAGTGAAGCGAGCAGTGAACCCCACTGAAGTTTTGCTTGTGGTAGACGCAATGACTGGGCAAGAAGCTGCAGGTATTTGGATTCCTACTTCTCTATATAAAAATAGTTACATAATGAGAACTTGACTGTATATCCATTTCTTTTTCTGTATAAAAATAATAACTTTTTAGTCAGTTCATTTTTTGTGTAAATCCACGTTGTCCAAAGTTATTCATAAGAATAAAGGTTAAGTAGCTTTGACTGTATTTAGTTGTACATAGGAGCTGATATGGAAGTTTCCATCTACAAATAAAATGAAGAAATTCAAGTAAGATATGCTATCTATGAAGCGTATAATTATTGTAATTTTTCTGAATGCATAGTGTGGAATTCC